TACACCCCCTATTTTGAGAATCTCGGGAAAACAAGCAAAAAATACCCCCTTTTCTACGATTTTCTCGGGAAAATGTTCCCGAGACAGATTGTCAAAAAGTACCCTCTTTCCCGAGAAAATGGGAACGCGCATGCGGCCCCCTATGGATCCTGAGTGGGGGGGGGGGGGGGTTTATATCCATAAGTTTGATGGAAATATTTTCCACATTTCTTAAAATGCGGGCGATTTTATGATATGGGTGATGCCAACACTTATTCGAATGTGAGCAACATTATGGTGGTATACAGCGTTGCTGTCATTTTTTTTACTTTCTTGTATTCAAATGAGTACCTTTCTAGGTAGAAAATGTTTTGGCAACATTTTCTCCATGAAGATTTAAATTCCAAGATCTACCACCATCAAAGGGTTTCCTAATGGGGTTAGACCTTCAGCCAGACATGCATGATATTATGACATTGTGACCTTTGACATATAGAGACGTGGCATAAGAGTTATGTAAACATATAGCAAATATAAATAATACAGTTTTGTTATTGATGCAGTATAATTCAGAACACAATTATTTTTAAAATGGACGCCTCTGTCGTAAGATTACGAGCATGAATATGTAGAATGGGTTCAGAATCACAAGCAAAACGCATGCGAGTAGAAGCAGTCTCTGTGGTAGAAGCGAGTTCGACCATGGACGTCCATGGTTCGACGGAGCAAAGTCTAGATTAAGATGAGATATCATGGCCACAAGTCGTGATCAATCTGACACTCACGTTTCTACTGTATTTAAACCACATGCTTTCAGCTTCAGTAGTCGATCCTTCCAGTAGTCGGGGTGGACTCGGAAATAGTGAACAGCGCCGCTCAGAATCTGAAACGGGCGTCCATTGAGCGAGAACTGCTTTCCTTCGGCCTGCAAAGAAATACGCTGTCCAAGTGACGCAAAATCCTCGTTTTGTCGAACTCGTAGCAAATAAAAATACCAATACAAAATAACACATACTGCGAGGATAATTATGAAGAATCGAGCCCCATGCACAGGCCTGAATGATACGTTGGCCATTGTAAATAGAGGGCTGCTTCTCGTAGTCATGCCCAGTGAAAGCGTGTATATGAGTATAATTACGTACCTGCATCACGTAAATAATAATGGCGGAACCGGAAATAACGCCCGGGCTTGACCACTTTGCTTGTGGGTGGGTGATCAGATGTACGATATAGCAAATCAACACAGTTTGGACCAGAAGTACGAACATATATTATTAAAAATAAATTTATAAAGTAGAAATAGTTTTCCATCTACGACTCCTGTATAATTGATTGTCGTCCGTGCCAATGGCCTTCGCTACCCATTAATATAGTAGAACGATCTGCTTATCAATGCCCTCATTAATAATTGTGTTTACTTTGTCGGGGGGGGGGTCATTATGCATTGTCAATTCTTCATTTTACAATCGAAATAAGCTCTATAAATGAGTCCTCTATAACCCCGCAACTTACTATTGTCTCCCTGTTTCAAAGAAAATCACGTAAGCAGTAACCGTAACCCGAAGGACCTGGCCATTTAGACCATTAAGTTTGAAGGGTCATAGAATAGAGAAAAAACACTACGAGAAAAAAAAAATCATACAATTAATTGAATTTAATAACAACAACGAAGAAATTGAAATTAAGAACTACGAGCATTTAGGAACACTCATTAAAACAAATGACTCTTAAATAAAAGGTTTATGCAAAAGCTGTGAGAACCATTATATGAGAATCATCAAACACTAACGCCCACATAAATCAACGAGCCATTTTGTTTTCATTTTGTTGAATCGCTAGGGGTCCTTTTCAGTTATTTGCTCATTTTCAGTTGACACTGAGCCCCAAAACGAATATTCAGACCAAAGGCAAACGCAACAATGTTATCAGTCTTTCCTGTTCTCGTGTGGGCGTGGAAATCAAGAGACCCACTAAGACCCACCCTTTTGTAATATTAATTCAACACGTAAATTAACATTAAAAACGTAACTTTTAATACATTTGAAAAAAGAAAAAAATACAACTACACAGATTGTCACAATCACAACTCGTAAATTGACCAATTGTTATGGTCACCAAGTTACGTACATGACGTCATATTTTAGAACTAAAGCCACGCTAACTGATTCGTGACCACGCTAGTTGAAATGGAGATCAAAAAATGGATTTTTTTTTTCCAAATTAAACACGCCATCGTATTACCAAATTATCTATCCAACCCCCAGTTCAGTGAACCATCCTCCACTAGGTACACCAACTCTGGATCAACTATGTTACCAGGCGAAGTATTGGACTTTGGTGTGCAAATGACTGACACATTCCTTAGCACGTCAATAGATGAGCAGTTTTGAGTTGAAAATAAAATTTGAAAATGAAAAGATGTCATCATCACAGTCATAACTCCGAGACCCATAGCTAAACATTAAATTGTCAGTGCCTACCTCCAATTAATCTATTGAAATTACACCAACAATCAAAATAGTAGATTCTAAGAAACATTAGAAATTCATTCGCCACAGACCCCCGATAAACATGCTATATCGAGTAGAGAATATTTAGTCTAGTTTTCTAAGTAAGTATTAAAAACAGCTAAGCGTTTCAGGCAATGAGCAATAGAATTTTAGCTCAGTTCAGGACCATAAATCGGAATCAAAATCAAATCTTTCAAATTATAGAGGAGTTGGTATTTCTAGTTGCCTGGGAAAAACTTTTCACAAAAATACTGAAAACAAAATTGATACAAACTAGATAAAAATGCCAATTTTCAATTCAGATATTTGGATTTAGAAAAGGTCTTCGAACTACTGACAATCTTTTTATTTTAAAGTCAGCTATCAATAAATATTTACACCATAACAATGTAAGTTCTGACAACCCAGCTACTGCTAATCAGAAACCGAATAAGGCAAAGTAACTATATATTTATATTGCATGCTTCGTTGATTTGAGATAAACATTTGACAGTGCTCGGCATCAATCTCCGAGGTGAAGCAAGATTGTAATCTATGCCCAACATGTTCACTATGTTTAGTCCCCGTTCAGACGCAGTTCAAACACGGGGACTTATGTTTTGATTTTTGTGCGTGCGTACATCATACATAATATTTAAACAATAATGTACTCCCCGGTGGCTCATACATTAGCGATCTGTTGTTCCTGATGCATGTCATTTTATTTTTCAGATCGGAACAAAATGACTGACTGGCGGCCATTTTGTTTAAATGAATGCGCTTCCAGAGCAATATTTCTCATTATGGACAAGTACTCGTTTGACAATCAGATACAAGATGTCAATCATTTTAATGTCAAACAATCATCATAATCAAGCAACATCTTCTGAATCCATACTTCTGACATGTATATGTTCCAACTATATTACTATAAACAAAACTATATATCTTAAATTTGATATCTAACTATGCCATGCATGCTATTTTTTTTTATCAAAGTGCATGAAAACCTCCGACTCCACTTAATACCCAAGTTAGTTGTTTTCTCTATGCAGATAAACAATCAGAATACAGTAAAAATACATTAATCAAACTAATTTTTTTATTATTTTGTGATTGCACTAGCCCCAATGGAAGTCCATAGGAACAATTATTAACTTAAAACAAAGGGGTCAATAAGCTATGTCCCCAATTAAAGAAATATAAAATATAAGGTAAAAATGATTACATTTTTATCACAACGCCCAATTTACTGTACTGCCGGTTTTTACTTAAAATACTTCCAAAATGGGCATTTACGGACAACTCGGCAGACAGCCATTGGTTGCAGTTATCAAATATTATAATCGCATAATGAATACAAATAATAACATTCTTAAAGAAGCTGCAGATTTAAACTGGAAAATTAATAGTAAATGATACAGGGAAGTGGAAACCCAACTTATAATATCAACCAATCAGGGATTATTGGTCTGAACAAGTAATGACAGAAACCCGATCAAAAATATTTGACAAACAAATAAAAAACATCGTTTGAATTATTTTTCAAAAACGATGTCCATGATGACGAAACGAATAACGCAAGAAAAAAAATGAGAATATGCAGAGGTTTCAAAAATATATTCAGATATAGTTACCTTGTTAATATTGTGTACATCAAACTGGAAGAGTGAGTGAATTCAGACTCAGCGATCACTGAGGTAGACACACAAAACCTCCGATTGGCAAAGTAATTTAAGACTTATGTACTGCTATGAAAATTGAAGACAAGACACACTTTTTTACAACGCAGCAAAAATAATAATAAAAAATCGCTGTTTTGACAAGAAATTCTCAGATATAACATTTCTTAATATCATGTTAGCAAAATACATAGAAAACGTTTATGTATAAGACAGCATCTTCCATAATAAGCCTAGTCTATATAAAATTAATCAATATTTTACTTTTATATCTTTATCGTTTCTAGTCGTGTTGTATTTTGTATGTCTTAGTTTTTTAAGACCATACTGCTGTACCTTTATGTGTCAGTGCCGTGTCAATAAAATATTATTATAGGTTTTTCCTGTCTTTGAACTAACTTTGACTTTATACCTGATATAGTTTATTTTCACTCATATACAACTGGACTAATATGTGTGGATAGCAAACTGTTGGTAACAACTTCCGCGTATGTTTAGATGATACGAGTTATTACTCGAAACGACCGGTTACTTTGAAAGATTACGTAGAACAACGAATACCACATATTACCTATTGTATATCGAATGGTACGGGTGTGCTATACCATTTCAAAACAGATGACATCATTGTTTGGCAGCTGTACATTTTCGAATCAATATAATTATCGTTCACTGGTTTGATCATGTTAATATACGGTGGATGGAGAAATATTCATTGTGTTTTAATTTTAACAATTCGAAGGGTATTCCTTTTTAAATTTACTGGTTTGTGAAAGAAACAATATATTGATAAATTTGCATTTAACTATCATTAGCTGGCAATAAAACCTAGCGAAAGATTGAAGACATATACAATATTGTGTGCATATCATGCTTTATTTAAGATCGTAATGCCGATTGGTCAGGACTCGATCACATGGTGGTTCATGATTAACGAAAATCCAGCACAAAAAAAAAAAAAAAAATACATCTCTAGCAATCCCATATGCTGTGTTCGTGCTCGTCTGCAAATATTTTTCTCTCTATTAAATTCTATTACTGAACTATACCCCGATAACTATTTGTTAAACATACGCCTTTTCACTAAGCATTTTTATTCACGACATTAAAATAGATGCGAAGTTATTTCATAAAATGATTATTAATCCAGTGTAATAATCCGCATGCAGTATAGAGTAAAATAATAAAGAAATACAAAAAGCATACCCAAAGTTGTTAATTATACCTTTTTAAAGACTCAAACGTGTCAAAAAACAATATTTTGTATCCTGTCATTCTAAAAAAAGTAGTACAACTTCATGAATGTAATAATAATGTTTAATCCACCAAGTCTGGACATATGTAGGATAATAGCAAGTTTATTTGTTGATCAATTAACTCTGGAGCTAAGTGAACTTGGAGGCTAGAAAAATGGGAAATTGACATATCCCATACACCGAGAAAGTGGACACCCATTCCACCAAAAACACGACGTATCATGCGGTCCATGTCAAAAGCTACCCAAACAACATCGAAGCGACTCTGTGTTCCACCAAGAACACTTCTTGGATGTGATACTTTGAAAAACACTTTTGCAGTCGGGCAACGCATGAAGAGCCGTTCAACTGCCAATTTTGTGGCGAAAAGTCTTTCAATGTATAACATAAATGACCACTCTGTGTAGTGAAATATAATATTCATCACAAACACTATTTGTTTTGAGTCACACAGAGTCTTATTAATACCATCAAGAAATTCACTCTCATATCCAATGGTCCAGAATGTCGGTCCATGAGGAAAAAATCCTTTGCTTACAACTATAAAATTAGAATAATTATATCGAAACCTGAGTGACTGACCAAACTGACCAAGTGTTGAATCTCCATACAATGCAAGTGAAACATTGGCCAAACATTTATGAGCTTGAGCCTGTGTCCATTTTTGACTTCTGCATACAAGCGAGACATAAGTTGAATCATCAGTCCAGTAACCATCAGTCACAGGTATTGGTAAGTCTGGACCACACATTGGTAGTGTTGGTACATTTGCCGAAGTATCTAAATGATATTAAACGAAAAATAGACAAATGTTTCGATTTGTACAATGAGTTTGAGGCTCATGAAAGAAACTATTGAAGTAACATGGATATATTATACAGACTATTGAACACGGAAATGATTCATTGATATACCTACAAAATGGAAGTATTGTTAAATAGGGTTAAAAATAGCGTATACTGAGAGACAACAGAGAATCACAGGAAAACAATTTTCATATACAGAATAAATAACAATCTTCGAATAATTTATCGAAGAATAATTAATATTATTTGGGAAAGATGGATTTGCTGCTACAGAGAGAACAAGAAGCTACTAAAATGCAGAAAATAAGAGTATTATATGAAGAAAATTGAAAAGAGTTCCACAGAATACATGTAAAAAGTAGTTTATATTTTGCAGATAATATTGGCCCATGGTTATATTCAGAATACGAATGTGATTGTTATGTTATACATATATGGGGAATAATTATTGAATATTTAACTCACCCTTAACTGCTATCCTCATCGGCATTGTAGTTAGCAGAGTGTTCTGTTGACTGCAGAGACAAACAATCAGAAAACAAGATTTGGCAGTCGTAATTCAAAATTTTAAGTGTATATGACCCAGAATTTTCAACTAAAAAATTTGTTTTTAGAAAATTTTAATATAAATAAACAGTTGAACAAATGATTATTTGTTGTTGGAACTTATCAACTTACTTATTAAAAAGGTAAGATAACAGCAATCTTTCCTTCTTTGCATCTGCGCCATTAACAGTTTTGCCAGTAAAGCTAGTAACACTCATTATATCCTTACAGGAGAATGTTTTTGGTTTATCACAAACAAATACTATGTTACCAAAAGAATTCCTGTTTCCATAGCTACATTTGTCTTCCCATACTCCTTCTCGAATCAATTTACATGTAACTTCCTCTGAATTGGGATCTTCACCATACACACCAGTCCATTGAAGATATTCTTTACGTAATCTGTTATTATTAAACATCAGAATCATTTCTCTGGTATATACCATATAGATCGATATATTTGCATCCCCAGCCCATGCAGCATAGAAATAGATAGAATATGTACCATTTCCATAGTCATATACTCTCCCTGCTGTGCTTTTCTGTAGCTGTGCATTTAACATAACACCTTGAAACATATCTCCTCCTTTATCTCGATAATTACCATACTTGTCTTTTGTCTTTATTACAATATGAATGTAGTCGCCTTTTTTGAAGTTATTTTTGTCTCCATTGATAAATATTCTTGTATGAGAAAAAATAATAATATATAAATGATAAAAATAAATCATACATAACACAGCTCTGAAGTAGGAGGGGCGGGGAATCATTGCACCTGATTGGGAAGTGAATTTCCAACAACCAACGAGCCTACGAAAGCTGGTGCCAGATGTTGTCAACCAATATGTTTCCAGTTAAGGGTCTGCCAACTGAACATCTGTCGCTGTGCCTTCCTTTCTCGTAACGTTATGAGTAAAACAGAACGAGATGAGAGTATTTATTCAAACAGAGGATGAAAGACTGATAGGCAGAAAATTATTGAGTCAAGAAACTCTCAAGGTTGAAGGGAAGTGAACCCTGTAAAGATACTATAAGTGTGTGTGACATTGTACGCCACATGGGTCATGTATTTAGTAAGAGTATTAAACCAAACTGGGATCGGCTGCAGAAAACCCTTGAATTAACAGAAGCCCAAGTCTTGGAAGTTTCACAACTGAAAAGCAAAGTTGAAGCAAAGACAAAATAATTATCACAGAGTAGTATAATATCATCAGAAATAACTGACTTGAGATATAAGTTTGCCTTTTATCTTTTATGTATTGAGACGTTATGATATTAACAATATCGTAAATTACTATTAACGTAAAGTAGGAATAACAACATACTGTAAGAAGACCTGTATTCATATTTATTGAAGTAAATTTACAAATCCAATGAAACAAAACAAATGACTGACATATAGTCGACGGTACACCGTAGTTAGGGAGATGATCAAAATCAAACCTGCGGTTTCCGGCTCGGTATCCCCGGAGCTCCCGGAGCCCTGCACAATATGCAAATTTATGCAAAAATATTCATGAGCTGACAATTCAGTGCGGCGCCTCGTTTTCGCGAGCGGACTGTTACAAATTGAAAACGCATTGTTTAACTACAAAAGAACATTAATTTATGCATGAAAAATAGGACAACTTAAAAATAAATAAAAAAATCATGAACGCTCGTACGTTTATACAGTTTTAAAGACATCGTAGTAAGGTTTCTGCTGACCTATTTCCTAGCGCCGCGTTTGCTCATTTATCAAAGCGTCCGACGATTTGCGTTATAGCTAGCACTGATTTTAATGTAAACAATTATTTCCCAATAATAAAAAAGAATTACTGTGGATCGCACTGAAATCAGAAACTCGTGCTTTGCCGACAATATGGAACTATGCCTCCCTGCAAAATCTGGGTCAGAAGTCAAAATACGTGTCAGCGAATTTAAACGAACATTAGTGGATCGCATTGAAATAAAAACTCTCACTTTGACGACAAAACGAAACTATGCGTCTTTGCTAGGTCTAGTTCAGAAGTTCAAATACCTGTCAGCGACATTATCTAAGTTGCGTAAGAATACTGTTTCCCTGACCACATTTGTCGATTTCAAAACATTACGGGATGTACAAGTTCGTTATTCATACACATATAAAAAACGAAAATGAATGCAATGTAGCGATTAATATCATTAATGTTTCACTGAGAAGAAGATCAGTAATTCTCAATATTTACTGAGATTTCGTTCATATAAAACTTTGTACATACACGATTCAGCAGACTACCAAACATTAACCGGAGTAATGAAATGTAGATTAACAGTCTTTAGTATTCATAATATCGTGACTATGCAACTTTGACAAAACGCTTAATCGGCGGTACGCAGTTTCCAAAGACAAATACCATTACGTCCGCACGCTACAAATATTCACAGCTATATTATAGTAACAATGGGATTATATAACGCCTTAATTCATAACATCGTTACAACACAACGAATCAGTTTTCTGGAGAACCGGGTGGGGGGCTAATTACCCTTTAAACCATCGAGGTCTAACTGCGTGAATATATATTTAAGACTATTTCGTTGACTTGGACGCACTGGCACTAAAACAGGTCAGGAATTTCGGCTCCCTGAACTTTGAATCAATCTCTATTATTTTTTCAACCACAGACGTTTGGCAGTTACTTTTTTTTAGCTGAACCTGCTTGTATTTTGTCAGAAAAGCTAATTAGCGAAATCGGCGGAGCTACGAGGATTTTGGATTTTGGTTTGATTTTGATCACCTACCTTATTCAAAATGAACAATAAACAAATAATAAGGATAAAATAACTGACCATACCACGTGTAATCAGTAAAAAAAAATTCTGGTCTATGAAATGTCAAGAATCGATAGAAATTACATACAGAAAAGTACGTCTGGCTTTAGCAATACTGAAAACTGGAAATCACCAAAAACATCAAACTGACGAAAGAACCGAAATGAACAACACTAGGACACAATACAAGAATATACCAAGTGACCGGAAACAATAATGGAAAGGCTGAAACAAATAATAAAGATGTACATGGTGATGTCATAGAAGATAATTTGTGGTTTTACCTGCTGTGTGACGTTGATGACAAATGAAAGTATTCCTTATTGAAAGTATCATTTGACCTTTCTCTACGATGTACATTATTATACGCCCAATCATATTCCTCCATAATACCTTTCCATTCCATAGCAAAATGTGTATATTCATCATATCGATGTATTATATCTGGCTCCGTAGATGTAGGTATCTGCTGCTGTATATGTGTTTGAACATGTTTATTACTGTTCAACGAAGAACTATGCATAATCTTCATGCCACTGTGTTTTTCGTTTGTCACCATTATGGACTTCGAGTTGGTATAAGATGCTATATTGCTGAGATCATCCATCGTCTGTAATGTAATACTGTATACTGTACAATACGTTGAAATATCTGCATGCGATTTTAGCGGATTTGACTCTTGGCATGAATTAACAGAATCTTAATTTAGGTAAAGTGTCGACTATCTCCCTGTGAGAATATATTTTCTGTTAAATTAGCTACATCCTTGAATTAGCTAAATTACAAACTATCTAAAATAGCTAAAATAACACGTTAGCTAAAGCGACATGTTTTCCAGTATGTATATGGAATACTTCAAAATATGGAAATTTCATTGTACAAATGATCTTATTTAGTGACGGCCGCACAGAGTTCGTTTATATATGGTCAGTGGACGCCATAACATAAAGAATGGAAATCTATTGTGTGGGTGGGTGGCCCGGGAGGGTCACTCTATATTAAAACCTTACACCATGTGCGTTCTTGCTAAAAAATACTAGGCCCCTAGGACTGGCGGCACATTGGCAAACCATACCCCCTATTGCGGACGCAATATAAATTTAGTACCCCCTAGAGCAGACAAATTGAAGAAAAAAACACCCCCTATTTCAGACACATATTGAGAACATCCTACCCCATATTGCGAGCATTCTATACCGTTTTTTTTTGCAATCAAGTGGAGTGTGATCAACTCAAACAAGTTACTATATATGCAACTCCTGTTGGTGTCATTCGTTGTTTGATGAAAAAGATGAGACTATTGACATGATAGTGAATATGATCATTTATTTTATAGTTTAATACACAATGCACACGACTTTGCCAGGATTCTTATTCCATCAGATATCATTACGCAATTTTATGTTCAGCTCCGAGTGACTTTGGCATGAATACAGGGTAGAAACCCCCCCCCCCCAAAAAAAAAAAGCAGGATCTGGATGCAAATGAGACCGAGGCGCAAAAGAAGTTTCGGAAGTGTGGATGACTCTGGCGAATGACTTTCTGTATGCGGCTTATTGTAATCGACGAAACGGAACAAAACGGGATAACACACATAATAAAAATTAAACTGTAATCAGTGAAAATAGGTTTTATACGCACAATATTTACAAAATATTTGCCGAAAATAATAATATTTAATACGTATATAGCTTGTTTCGCTAACTACAGATAATCACAAATCTGTAATCTGCGAATACACGTACAATATTAACAGCCGTCGGTTGAAACCTGACCAGTATATTCCGTGACCTTTCTAAGTGTATATATACAACATAAAACATATTCAAAAATCTGTAATCAATGAAACATTTGCTGAAAATAACGGGATTTTATGATTAGTGAATGGTTCGTTTCGCTAATTGTTTAATGAAGTTTTATACACGGCTGAAAGTTAAAAATACTGGTAAAGTTTCGTCCGATATCTGTGATTATTGTATCTGTAATTTAATAAGACCCTGTTTCGCCGCGTGATTGCAGATTTTCGATTATCTGTAATTAGCGAAACGAACCATTACTGATTATATTGTTATTATCGGCAAACGTTTTATTTCGTTATATACTCATACTGAATGGTGAATATACTTGTCAAGTTTCGTCGACAGTTGTGAATATTGTACGTGTCAGAGTGTATATAATAACATAAAACATTTGACAAAAATAACGGGATTTTAATTAGTAAATGGTTTGTTTCGCTAATTACAGATAATCGAAATCTGTAACCAGCGAAACGAGGGTCTGACACGTACCATTTACTAATTAAAACCCCGTTATTTTCGGCAAAAGTTTTAT